TCTTTCAGCCAACTTCTTTGAAATTATCATCACCTCCTTCTGTACATCTTAACGGCAATGCTCTTACGTATGTCGACAGTTATATGTATTTGGGCAATATTTTGAAATCCAATCAGTCAGATAATGAAGATATGATGAGATATTATCAATATGTGTGTACTCAAGCAAACATGCTTTTACGCAAAATTAAGCATTGTTCATTGAGTAACAAAATTAGATTATTCAAATCTTATTGCTGCACTATGTATTGTGCTCCACTGTGGACAAACTTTAGTGAAAATGTGTAAAGAAAACTAGTAATTGGTTATAATAATAGTCTTCGCTTTCTATTAGGTCTTCCTAGATGGAACAGTGCCTCCATGTTTGTAAATTATAATGTATTCAGTTTTGAGGAAGTAATGAGAAAGTATGTATATTCAATGATAACAAGACTTTCTAATAGTGAGAACTGTATACTTAAATCACTTTGGAAATATGACATTAAATTAAATTCTCACATTGTTAGTAGATGGAACCAATTACTATTTAATTGTGTCACTTAAATTTCATTTTTTAACAATGCATGGCGCATAACATTGTTGTAAATGTATCTGAATACTTGTACATATGATATATATATATATATATATATATATATATATATATATATATATATATATATATATATATATATATATATATATATATATATATATATATATACGTTTACAATGTTTTACTCTATATCAGTATTTTAATTTAGATGTATGGACTATGCAGTCTGAAATAAATAATTCTTATCTTATGAATTAGTCCCTGAGGCATTTCAGCAAAACCTCAGGAAATGTAATAAAAGCTGGGCAAATTTATGTTGAATTTGCAAGAGAAAAAGAGCAGTTATTTTTATTATTCATTTCTAGCATGAGAATCCGATTTTTTAGATAGGGCTATTCTAGACTATGTGCTAAATAGTATTTGTTTTACTCCACTGTACAAATTAGTGATCAAATAGCCCCACATGTAAGCCATCATGGGATGTAAAATCGCGGGTTAAAACAGACATTTTCTAGCAGATTTGTCAGTCGTAAAATAATACCTTCACAGCTCAGAGGTTTTTTGTGTTGCTGCCATTTGAGTTAAAATTGTTATTTGAAACAATTTATTTTTCCTTGAAAATGTATGCTTCTTCATAAAAATTATTGGACAAAGACATTCATTTAAAAATATTTGGAATTCTAAAGCCAGAATATTATTCTTGATTCACAAAATTCTACGATGAATTGTTGACACATCCGTACAATCCTGTGTTCATCTGATGTCATCGTCCTCCATATTGGAACATACAAAGTAACAAAGAAAAGAGTGAAGCCAACAAGCTTTGTAAAAAAAAAAATTCCCTAGAAAACAAGGTAAAAATATGAAACATGACTTACGGTTTGTGAATCTAATGCAAAAATTAATCAGAGAATTTAAAAATATAAGTCCTCTCACTAAGAAGTTCTAAATGAATCAAAGTTCGAATTCCGATGAAGTCTTAAAACGGCAGGTGATGACGTCTATACCCTGTTTACTGTTGTCGCATCAACAGTTTCTTGTTAAATTTTATGAATCTAGAATAATATTCTGGCTTTGTAATTCAGAATACTCTGAAATAAATATATTTGCCAAAGAATTCTGATGTACACTAGCTAAAGTCTCCAGGGAAAATATTTTTTTTAAAAAAAAATAAAAACTCAATTCAAACTATCAACAACAAAAATAATACCTTTGAGCCCGAAGGAATGATTTATGACTGACTAGAAAAACACTATGATATGTAACTTTAATTCCACTTACAACGCAGAACGGACTATTTGATACGGTCACGTGATCACTTACTTTCAAGAGTCGTAGTAACATCATAAGTCAATTATCACGTCCACCATAGACAAATTTGAATATACCTAATGAATCTTACTTTAAGATTCAATAATAAAAATAATTTAAAAATAGTTGTTTATAACAGAGCTCAACTGTCTCTGAAATCTAGGTCACCAAAAGATACAATGTTTTTACGAACTGCGTATTTATTAGGTTTTACAGAACTGAACTGAATTTTCTGGAAAAATGTCAAATGCAGTAAATAATGTTATCATTACAATAACATATAATGAAATAAAATAAAATGAAAAAGAAATTTAAAACTAACACACAAATAATTAAATGACATATATGTAACATAAGGCTTTGGTAAAATCGGCTGAGACAAAAAGGTAAAAAAATGTCTACAAATAATGGTTAAGGTCATTTACCAGAACCAAACCTGGTCTTTGAACCCACTCAATATAAATAAATATTCAGTCTAATTTTTCTTTTACATAATAGTTGTTTCAGATACTTTGCTTCAAAGTTGTTGTGTGACAGAGTGATAAATGTGCAGCCAAAAACCAATTTGAACAGTTCCTTGGGTAGAGACTTAAATATAAGTACAATATATCCAATTACATATTATGTTGAAATATAAGTATTTCACCCCTACAGTTAAATATGGCTGATGTTAATGTATGAGTAACAAATGTGCATTGATTCTACTAGTAGCAGGAGAAATGAATACTGGGATTATCCTCTGTGAATTAAGTATGTACACATAATGAAATGTGTTTAAAAATTCTCCCAGTGAGAAAATTGGTTTGGAAAGATTTTGGAGTTCACAACTTCCACACAAATCACCACATTATAGAATGTTCATTTTTTCTTTAAAGAAAGGGTTTCATCAGGCCAGACAACTGCGAGGTTCCCGTAATTATTGAAAGTGAAGAATGCCTTTTCCACATAAAATATGACCAAAGATGGTTCTCTCCCCTTATTATCATTTTCTTCTGACCAAGTAAATATGCCTGCAATTAATATCATATATGGTAAAAAAAATTATTCATGTATGAGTTACTATTTTTATTATCTAATTAGATAATTAAAGATCATAGACTAAATGGTTTTCACAAGTATATGTTAATCTGACTTTTAATATAGGACTACTAAAAGTAAAATTATGTGTTCCTTTTATAGAAAAATACATGTTTTTTCAAAACATACGTATAAAATTCCTCGATGTCATTGTGGAAAAATTTGAAAAAGTTATCTATTTCCTTGAAATAAAGTTAATTTCTACAGGCATGTTAAATATTTCTTGGAATGGGAAGATGGTGATGGTAAATAATAGTATGTTGAATTAACTTCTTTCTTTTTTTTTATTTTGATTTGGGGAAGTGGGGACAAAATTATACCAACTAGTCCAAAAAAGAAAAAGAAAATGAATCTATGAAAATAGCTTGTTCCTATCTTTTGATTTCTTTCCATGGGCTTTTGGAGTGTATATTTAAATATGTTGTATGTATAATACAGTTAACATCGAGTTCATTATTAGGATTAGGACCAGTAGAGTGAACAGACAATTGTGTCTAAGACGAGGAATTGATGGTTAATTAAATGGCAGGCTTTGATGTATATACTGTATACCCTTCGCATGTATTGGATGGCCTTAGTCAAACCTGTGAACAGTGCTGGTATCAGTATATTACCTTATACACTTCTTATAGTGGGGCGATTCCTCCAAAATCGACGGGGCGATTTTGTTATAACTAGTTTGAATACAATAAAGGTTTTTTTAAAATTAGTTAATGAAATTTCGATTCGGCAAACATTCCAATTCTAATGAAATAATTAAAAAAGGCATTAATATCACTAAAGGTTTAATTCTGCAATGAATTATAGTAGTAAAAACATCCGATTTAAATTATCCTTAATGATTTGTAAATATTAATTAATCTTACCAATGCATAATAAATGATTAATATAGATTTATAAATGAACAGAACTAAATTAATAAAAACGACAAGAACAAATCAGTACCATGTATAAATAAAATTGAAATTGGTGGGGGGATGGCGGCCGTTTTAGACGATTTGCAATTTCTAAATTAAAATCACATCAACAACAATTGTACACGCATGATAATGTCACCTGTTAGCAATAATAACCAAAAATTTGAAGTTATTATAAGTAATAGTCTGCAACTTGAAAATATTAGTTTCATCATCGTTATTTTTCATCAACATAAGAATCAATTTAAAATATTATTTTCTGAGCATTTTGACACAATTAACTAGAATTGCATAAACTATTTCACTTACCTTGAAATTGCTGCTGTGGAATTATAGGCAGTGCCAATGAAAACAAAATTTATATATATATATATATATATATATATATATATATATATATATATATATATATATATATATATATATATATATATATATATATATATTTCGGTAGTATTTCTCTACAGTGCATAAACACGTCACTTAAATCAAATTTTAAAACAATAGATAGTTCTATAAACAATAAATATTTGCAAAATCATGCATACAATCAGGTAATAAAATATCAATATTTATATTTAACTCATTTAGTCCCCATTTTGGGCGCTTTTGAATCGTTTTCCAGTGCTTTTGAGTGGTGTTACGGTCCTGTTTCCTCAGCGTTTTCCGCTATTTCTATGGACCGCATTCGTGAGGCGTGTAATATGGCATCATTTAGGCATGTCTTGAGTTTGTTTAATTTTCTGAACATTGCAGGTGGTTGAAATATATTACTATATTTGCTGTTAGCCTAGTCAATATATTTTTAATAACATTTATTGCATGTTAACACGTCCAAAGATTATAAGAAGTTAATTCTGTCAACGCAATGATAAGCATATTCGAAATCGTTCACAAATAACGTGTGTGCGTGTGTGCGTGTGTGTGTGTGTGCGTGTGTGTGTGTGTGATTTGGATATTTAACATAGCTTTTGCGATTTTGTCAGCCATATCGCTACGATGTCTACATTGTAGCAGTTTATAGTTATGTCTAGCACTGGGGCATCATGCCACAGACATGTGGCATCATGTCCCACCCAGTCACATTATCCTGACACCAGTCCTAACATTAACCTCTTAATGCTGAGCGAGGCAGCTTTTGGAACCATTTTTTTAAGTCTTTGGTATGACTCAGCTGGGGATCGAACCCACGTCTTCCTTCATCCGAGGCAAACGCTCTAACCACTAGACCATCAGAGCGGTTCACAAAAAAGTAACGTTGTCATAAAGGATGCTGTCCATTTTACACTGCTCCTTCAACATGTGCATTCTGTGAATGCAGTTAATGCGCAGTTTTATAATTTATAATTTCAAACAGGGAATGTTACAATTTTGTTTTTAGTTTAAGATTATGTGATCAAAAATGTGCTCGAAACGTCTTTCCATATACCAACATGTGGAATATAACACAATTAATTTTACTATATATTCTCTTCATTTGTTTTTCATTACTGAACATTCCACTTTGAGACAGTCAATATAAATCATACGGAATCTAAACTGGCTCCAAAGATGACTTCACGGTGAAGTTTTTGTTAAAGGTTCACCGGCATTATATTTTTTTGAAAGGCTGTACTGTAAAGAAACCAGCATGAAATGGAACACAGATTTTATTTCCGGAACATTACCAAGACCTTATTACTCCTGTACACTATCGCAGAAACACACACGGACAACCACACCATAATCTCATATTCTGAAGAATAAACAATTGCTTTTAAATTCATACCAATAATGCCTAAATCTAACTCTTGTATCACCACCAAAAGGACAGAAGAAACAATGCTCTAAAACTAGACTGGGACTATATTCGGGTACTGAACCAAAACTATTAATTGTGGCCTGATTACATGTGGACAGTAGCTATATAAGTGCCGAATGCATTAGAATCAGCCAGCGCCGCATTACATCCGGAAATTGGATATAGTGCAATCAAATGCGCTACAGGACTCGCGGTACTAATTTAGATTTTATTGTAAACCTATGCAAACACCATGATATTTTAAGAATTTAATAACTTAAAATTTCTGAGTGCTCAGGATCAAATATATATTTATCAGCATAGATGAAACCTGGATGTCGTTTTCTGTGTAGAGAAAGTGTTGGAAACATGTGCTTTTAATTCCGCAACAAACAGTCGGGTGCTAATTTTGGTAATGAGTGTTCCAAACTCAAACTGCCAAAGAAATGAAATTTCATCAATAGAGCAATGTCTCCATTCTTTTATTTACAACTAGGATAGTGTCTCAAAAGATTCTTTTTCCTACAAAATAATTTTCATTGTTAACCAATCCTGGCCAGACAAACTTATATATACTCTATTTTATGTTCACCCATTTCCAGTCAGATTCCCATTTTTTCATACGATTAGTACCGTGTGTCCTACAGACATGCCCCGGAGTACTCAACAGGAACACCAGTACATGAAATCCAAATACTAACGGAAAAACCCTGCACCAGATATAAGGCGAAAAGAAATTAAGCTATTGTACCTCACTCGAGTGTGTACACAACACTGACGACCACCTTATGATCAAAGCCCTCGCAAAGTGCGATAAACCATCATGTAAAGGGATGAAAAGAAAAGTATGCTGTGGGAAAATAATGGCAGACTTAAAAATACAAAGACTTACAGATCGCAGATGTTAAACCAAAAAATAAGATACTACCCAAACCAACCGTAGACCTGCACCACGCCACAAATTCACTTTAATCCTCGAGAATTAGGAAATAGACAGGACGACATAATATGCCTAATTCACTCTTTTCAACTAGATAGAGAACATATGTACGAAGCCTATACCGAAATCTTCACCGACCCACCACACCCCACCCCCAAGCAGCATGTGTAGTCATCGCATAATTAGGTATCTCATTTTTTTAAAAAAATACTGGACGAGAGCGTCATATACACCGTGGAATTCATGGAGATACTAGCAACGCTAAACTTCATCCAAACCAAGCCAATAACGACTCGTACAGTGTCCTCCAATCCTTAGCATTCTACCAACCAAAGATTAGACCAATTACGATAAATTACACAAGATCGCAACCCCCCCCAAAAAAAACAAAATACGGCTAACCAATGCAAACGTAGAATACATATGGATTCCCACCCATATACAAATTCCTGGAAACGAAAAATCAGACGCAGAGAAGAGAATCAATCTCAATGAATCCATAGCTAAAATTCTCCCCTACAACGCCATTGAAATAAAGAGCATCTTCCGGAACAAAATGAACGAAATATGGCATGAGCAGTAGGACAAGTCGACCACAAGTAGACAGATGCACAAAAGATAAAAGAAATGTCATTAGGAACATAAATTACTTGACCTTGAAAAATCCTTATACAGCTATAATAAATAGACAAGACCTAGCTGAACTCTGTTGGTAGGATGTGCAGGAAAATATGTAAAATGGGTCTCTAGTTCAAACTTCCCCCACTGCCGTACTCCAGAAACACTCGAACATGTGCTAAACATCTGCCCCTATTATATTCAGGAAAGAATACAGTTATAAACCAAATAAATAAATATAGTAAAACGTAGTACGTACCCGGAGTTACTAGAAGATAATAATAAGAATTTTAAAATGACATAATTAAATAACATAATTTATAAATAGGTTAGAGAAACGAGGACAAATATAAATTAAAGCAATCACACACAATTAAAAGCAATACCTAAACTCAACCCATCTCCCAGACTGCCACAATAACAATTAAATTAGTCGGAGTTGTCAAACGACGCAGATTCATTAAACGACTTCAAACTAAATCAGTAACCCAGTTTAAAACAACATTAAGCTAAAATATACACTAATTCCAAACTTATAAAAATATTTTAATTAAACCCACCTCCATGGCGACGACAAAACAAATTGTTATTGTGGTCGAAAGACACAACTTTATTGTTACAACTTAATTAAGAACAGTGGAAGGAGAAAAAAGCATCTCTTAGTTAAAAGAGGGTGCTAACTCAAAACTAACCAGCGTTAACAAACCGTACCTACCTCGCAAGTTACGACAAAAATAAGTTTTATAGCAACAACTAAACCAAAAACAGTGGCTTGGGAAACATCAACATGCTGAAGAAGAATAAACATATATAAAGATCAGGAAAAAGAAATCAACATTACTGAAGGACAATGGAACAAAGGCAAGAGTAGTATTAATAAAAAAAAGTTCAGGACACAAGCAGAAGACAACAACAGAGCAATAGAAAAATATGCTAACAAGTAGCAGAAATAAGGAAGGTCAGGAAACGAATAGAATATCACATCAGGACAAAGAAAGAAGGCAAGAGAAACAGAAATACAGAAGATCAGGAAGAGAAGCAAAAAAGCCAGCAACTGCTTGTGTAGAACAAAGGATAAGAAGTTAAAAAAAACAGAATAGGGGAAAAAGAATGACTGTAGAAAAGAAATTGCTACACCTAAGAATTAAAATAAATGCTCCAAATCCGCACCTACAGAAAAGAAATTGCCATACCCCAATAAAAAAAATCCATGCCTATGGGATGGCCTTGGGCCGAATGGACCGATTAGGCTCCTTCAGCTTCGCATCCTCTGGGGTACAACGTGTTAGTAATTTTTGAAAATATATCTCTAGAGATAAAGTAAGTTTAAAGCGATGGAAGAAAGTTTAAGTTCAATATCATATAAAACGTGTAAAATGTTTAATTTACAAATCCTGTACTTACAGGGTTTACCGCGAATATATCCAAGGGGCCTCGCCAAATGATCAAAATCGGGCCCCGCGTTTGCTAAGGCCGTTCATGCATGCCCATACCTGAATATCCATCCCCCAACAAAGAAAGACATAAATCTATAACACAGTTCCGAAATAGCTCAAATAGAACATGTATCTATTGCTCGCGTACTATAGTACCAACACATCTACCCATACCTCCCCGACAACATGGCTTTCATTCTGAGCCAAGAAAGCCTACTTTAGACAAAAAGACTGTTTGGTCCTGGAAATATAAAAATTGGTTCGAGGGCCATATTTTTTATGCCACCTTTGACATCAGTTAGTGTTTTTGAAGTCATATTCAAGCTCTGAATTTCTTCCAAAAAGGCAATGATTACACACGAGTGATTAGAGAAGGTGCAAATGCTATCAAGTCTCTTAGTCCATCGCCTTCCAGATTCCCCATGCAGAGATACACCATGCAGCTTCATTTGTAATATTTCCCAGCGTTGTGGACTAGCAGAGAAGATGGTATACACAGTTTGAACAATTCCATAGAAGGTCTCAACATCTGTGCAGCTTGACGCAGCATCCAGCCCACACAATTCTGTGAATTACAGACACATGGTGAGAATATAGAAAGTGGGTTCTTCTTTAGGAGGATTGCATGAACATATTTGTACTTTCCTAACATGTTGACCCCATTGTCATAACCTTGGCTACGGCAGTCCTCAAAGCGAATTTTCAAAGTTTCCAAAGTCTCCAGGACTAATATTGCAATATCAGATCCAGTCATTTTGTGCACAATCTACAAATTAAAAAAACCGCTCTTCGGTGGAAAAATTTTCAAGTTCTTCATGTACGTATCGCCTGACAAAAGTAGAATGTTCAGCATTATTTACATCAGGAGTGGCATCAACAACAATTGCAAAATACTTTGCAGATTCATACTCCTCTACGATTTGTCCCCGAACTTCAGCAGCACAAAGTCCAATGAATTCATGTTGAAAGCGATTTGAGAGATAATGCGCTTGAAGACTTTGATCCTTTAATGTGAACGTTTAACTTTCATCACATATTCCTTGAGAATTGGATGCTAATGAGAAATTAGTTCTAGCAATCCTAAGAAATATCCATTATGATTATCTCTAATAATGTCAGACTTTCCATGGAAAGCCAATCCACTTTCACCAAGAAACAGAACCACATCCAAGATTCGTTCTAGATTTTTCTCTATGTGACTGCTTCAATGAGGATTTTGCGATCCAAAAATATTGAATTTACAGATCATTCTTCACTTGAACTTCCAATTCACGCCACTGAATGTAACACTGTTTATGGGCTTTTGAATGCTCAGGAATACAATTGATAGGATTTTTATATTTCTTTCCAGGTCCCCATCCTTCCCTCATTGCAAGTGATGAAGTCAAGCGTTGAACCTGACGTTCAGGTGAAAAAACTCGACATGGCAAACAAATAGTGCCATCTTTGTTCGGCTAAATACAAT